CCCCAAATGGTAAACCCTGCAATACCGTCAGGGGTTAACACTCGCTTCGCTTCACGCAGCATGGCATCGGGATCTGGAGCGAGTTGAAGACACAGACTGGCAATGTATCGATCCATCGAACCCGTCACAATTTCCAAGTCCTGGCCTGTGTACATCGATTAGAGTGTCGTAACATTTACGTAGCTTCTGTAACTCTAGCTTACCGTTGGCTTCCGTGAACTGGATGTCGACACCTCTTGAATCCACGCCATTGAAGTTCTCCTTGGCCATCCCGACCATCACCGGCGACAAGTCCGTGACTGTGAACGTCCGCAGCTTAGAGCCCCCGTCAAACAGGTATTGAGCAGCGTCGAGTGAGCCCAGCCCAGCTCCTGCAGCGATCTCAAGAACGTTTTGAGCGCGATCCAACTGCATGTGGCAGTGCAGCTGTTGAGCACATTGCAGAGTCATGTGCTTGTTCGCCGTCTCTGTGAAGACCACGGCGAAGTTGCTCCAATTCTTCCGCATCATTGCAAGGCGGCCAGCCATAACTGCGAATATCTTTTCAGCTTGTTCGGTCTAGGACGAGATTTTTGAAATGGTTCATGTAAGCAGCAAATCAACTTACGCTCGCCACGTAGAGCATCGCCTGCTCAACAACTTCAAGTCCTGCACCAGTGTTCCTCACACGATTAGATAGCCGTATAGTGATCCCCTTATTATCCGTCACGTGTCTTTGATTAATATTATAGAGGCTTTATGATTTGACTGAAAGTTCATGGTCACAGATAGGTAGAATCTTATCAGGTTTAAAGGGTATAAGGAGGTAGTGTGAGAGGGGGCACTGTAATTATGAAAACCAATAATTAGAGCACGAAATCTGGCAATATTTTCAGATTCTGAAACCCATGGCTCGGCATCGGCGCTTCAGGCACGCAGGGCACGCAGAAGAGGAAATCCGTACTTCTGTTCACTTACACTCTGCTATAACTCGACAATCTCGAGAGGGGGGAGCGATTCGAGTGATCGGGAAGCTCTTCTGAGGCTCTCGTGAATGATGTCAAGAAGGGGGAGCCCAGCGAGGATGCGTGCTTGGGAGAAGATGCTGGCAGGGTTGCATGTGTACAAGGAGAAGAGGGGCATCTGCTGGTTTATTATGCCAGAGAATGATGAGTGCTGGCCTGAATTTCTGAGCGGGTACAGACTGGAGCCGGCAGCAAAGGAAACTGCAGGAAGGACGGAAACCTTTATCGACGCAAATGATCGAGGAGATTATGCTGCACAAATTGCTGGATCGAAAAGGAGGTAGAAGTTGGGATTCTGCTTTACTACGATTTATGAACGTAATTGGAAAGGAGAAAAAAAACTGCCTTCGCACAGAATTTATCGACAAGAATTCGGGCACTTCATCAACAGACAGGACTTTAAGGTGCCGTCGTGTCTTCCATGGCCGACAATGGCGTGGACAGTGCGTCTTGGCATGGCGATAACTCGACAAGGAGATTCTAGATGCGATCGATTTTGCCTGGGGTCGTGACGAGGCCATTTGGAACCAACATATTATTTCAAGTGTTTGAAAGACCGCTGACGTTTGTCAAGAACGGCAACATCCCAATCAGCTTCGTGGTTCCTAGTGATGAACCTGGGCCCAGGAATGCATGGGGGCGAATCTAGGAAAGATCATCGCTAAATGCAGAAACAAGGATCCTATTTTAGATACTTCGATCGTGATGCAGATGTGTTGGGAGTCGATCTGCAGTTGTCGAGACAAGCGTGGCAGGATCGTATTGTTCCGTTGCTCGATATTTACGCAACGCGGTATGATGGTAGTGACGGCACTTCTGAAGACTTTGTCATACCATTGGAAGCTCCCTGGCCCAAGAAAGTGTGAGTAGTTCGTTTAGGGCTCGTCCTGGCTCGCAATAAGTAGTATTAGCCTGGAAATATGATGTTTGCGTCAAGAAGTGTAGTATCATTCACTTTATGCAGCTACCGGCGTTTCATTCAGCTCAACCTAAACATGACCCTGGCTATTACTTCGAAGTAGTAAAAACAAATGAATAGGATTGTCTATTAGCATTATCCTCGCAATTTTTGGTTTCACGAGCACGTTATGCGTCGTTGCTCGCAGATAAACTCGTATTCTTACTCGTCAGGAGGTAACTGGGGCCAAGTTGCGAGAAAATACTTGCGGTGGATTCACACGGTCTTACTATTGCACGACCCTCCTTGTTAGATCGACAGCTCTGATGCGACAGATGGGATTCGTGGAAGCTTTAAACTTCCCTGACCCCGGCAAAACATCGCTGGCTTGTCTGCAAATGGGCCTTACATTTACAGACGGCGGCGTTCCTCGTGTTCTCATGACTAATGACTACTTATACTACTTAAGTATACATTGATCCATGGAGCACATGTATCTAACGATCAGGGTGTTTACTGGTGTGTAGCATCTTTTTGAACCGGCTAGAACTACTACTATATTTGAAAAAAAAGTTGTAACCTGCCAAAAAATGGATGTACACATTTGTTCTGAGCTCTAGCAATACTCGTAAACTACACTGAAACAGTATGCAGGATATTCACCGACGCTAGAGTGTACATCATGGGGTTCCAGAACAGAAAATTTTAATCTTGCCATACAAGCGGGCTATTTATGCAGGTGTTGGCCGAGATGAAGCGTAGCCCGCCTCTCTTCGCTAAGCGA